AAATGCTTTCTATTAATTATTCAGTCCTCAAAGATTGGGGTCATCCTTGACTCTTCTTTTTCTTACATACCACATCCAATCCTGCAGGAAATCTTGTCAATTCTATTTTCAAATATACATCCTGAGTCGAATCCCTTTTTACCACTGTCCCTGTTCTCATGGTATTTCAAGTCACCACCATTATATCCCATAAATTTTTGTGATAACCTCTTACACAGTCTTCCTATAACTATTCTCGATCCACTGCAGACTAATTTTCACACCGTAGCCAAAGATGCCTTTAGAACGTAAGTCAGGTCATACTCTAATGTCTCAAATGCTTCAGATAGCTTTCCATCTAAAGTATTCTCAGTGCCCTACATGATCTGGCTCTTTACAATTTTCCTAACTCCATCTCATAATACTCACACAGTTGTCCACTCTGCTCCAGCCACACTCCCTTTCTTGCTGTTCCTCAACTTTACCAAGAGAAGTCCATCTAAAAGACTGCATTTATAATTGGCTTTGTCAGAGACGCTCTTCTCAGGTTGCCACATGGATACTTCTTTACTTCATTTAGCTCTCTACTTCAATTTCTTTCTTTTTGTTTTTTTAGAAAGTCTTTTCTCTTACCACTTATGCTCTTTATCCCTTATCCTGCTTTATTTTTGTACTTTATAGCACTTATCTTATTTGTTTATTGTCAGATGCCTCCCCTTTGCAGGCCAACAATGTAAGATCCATGTGGGCAACAACTTGATCAGTTCTGTTCAGTGCCTTTTACTCTAGAATCCAAAAATACCTGGAACATAGTAGGTGCTCAATAAATATTTGAATCCATTAATAAACAAATGAACATGGAGCTCATGAACACGGAATTTTGAGCGTGGAGTTTTAGATGATGAATGAAGTCTTGTAGATGGAAATGCTGGCTTCCCCTGAACAAAACAAGTCAGGTACATGTGTCCATCATCTTTACTCACTATCTTCACTACCTATTTTTTAAGCTCTATTGAACTTTAAATTAGTCTCAGTACTGCCACAAAGCAGCTCTCGTCAAAATCACAAATGACTAAAGTAAGACTCCTGGCGTATAAAACAAATTCAGGATAGATTGCAAAAATAACAGTGAAGCAAGGCTACTAATGTCTTTGGCAATTATCCACAGAAGATCAGCAAGGAGCCAGGTTGGTACCTGTATGCAATATTAGCCCATATTTCTCCTTCCAGAAAGAGGAAACACATTCACACAAAGCAAATGAAGTAAAAAAAAAAAAAAAAAAAAAAAAAAAAAAAAAAAAAAAAAAGGCTGACAATGAGTTATAAATTAAATTAGTGACATTCTTATTGCTTTATGTTTGCATAGAGAAAAGATGTTAAGCTGGAGTTAAATAGGGTCATTTTAGTCATAATAGGTCATTCCAGAGGTCATATATATGCCTATGATCATCTTTTATAAACCTAAATCTGGAACATACAATTTGAGAGACACGAATTTACTTACAGACAAAATATAAAAATTGGTACAGGTTTAAAAAATGCAGGATGGGGGTGCTTGGGTAGCTCTAGCTCAGTCAGTTGAGCGACTGACTCTTGATTTTGACTCAAGTCATGATCTCAGGGTCATGGGACTGAGCCCCCTGTTGGGCTCCATGTAGAACACGGATCCTGCTTAAGATTCTCTCTCTCTCATTCTCTCTCTCTCTTTCTCTCTCTTCCTCTCTCTCTCTCTCTCCTCTCTGCCCCTCTCCCTTGCTCGTGCTCTCTCTGCCAAAAAAAATGGCAGGATATAAAAGTACAGTACATGTGCCTCTTAAATGGCACCAGGGATATTAAGTGGATGAATGATCAGAAAAAAGAACAAGGCAGGTGCAGTCTAGAAGGAAGATACGTGGTCAGAAACAAGATAGCTGAAGAGCAGAACATCATAAGTGACATATTCAGCTTCAGGGATAAGTTCTAATGAACACAAAAGGTTTGAATCTTGAGGCACAGTGGAGTGAATATTCACTACCTCAGATAAATCCTTGTGGGAAGATAGGAATAGAAATAAAAGTTTGTCAGAAGAGTTGGGCTTCTTTGCCTTACACCCAACTAACTTCATATTATGCAGTTTGGATACCATATACAATGTGATCAATCAAAGGACTACTTTCAACCAATGCCATGTGTACCCCTAGAAGATACAGATCTGCCAATTGAACTTACTGATGCTCAATAGCACATTCCACCCATCATCTTCATGGAGTTGTGCTCTGAATGCAAGGTTGTGGTTTTTCTATCTAAAGCCTCCCTCTCTCTCTCTCTCTCTTTCATATGTACACACACACACACACACACACACACACACACACACGCATGCACGCACGCACACACACTAGAAGTCAACAAAGGAGAATGGAGATTAGAGGTTGGAGGATAATGCATACCTTACATGACATTAGAAAGGAATGATTAAAGGAATGATCTAGCTTCAGTAGAAAGTGAAATAAATAGGGGTGCCTGGGTGGCTCAGTCTGTTGGGTGTCTGACTCTTGATTTCGGCTCAGGTCATGATCTTGCAGTTGGTAGTTTGAGCCCCACATTGGGCTCTGTGCTGACAGTGCAGTCTGCTTGGGATTCTCTCTCTCTCCCTTTCTCTGTCCTTCCCCTGCTCACTCTCTCTCTCTCTCTCTCTCAAAATAAATAAATAACTTTAAAAAAGAAAGAAAATGAAATGAATAATATTGTAGGATCTTCAAAATTTGAGATTGAAAAGCCCAAAACTTTCATTTAATATATGAAGAACTGGGACAAAGTTAAATAAAACATACAAAGTTAGTGGAAAAACTAGAATGAAAGCCCAGATTTCCTGGCCCTGTAGGATATTCCTTTCATTTTGCTAGTTCTTGATCTTGGTATCTTTATCATTATGGATCATTTTACAAACAGAACAAAGCACAACCAACAAACTCCCTCTTGATGGAAAAGATATCTGAAATAAGTATTTATTGGTAGGTTTATTGTAGTTATGTTTTCAGAACATACCAAAAAAGTTTATTTCAGAACATTTTAAGGACTGAATTCTATGAATCCTGAAGAGAAACCATTCACCAGACTTCTTAGAGTCTGCACCTACACTGTCCAGAGTTGAGTTATGATCTTAAAGAACACTGAGAGAGGAAAAAAAAGTGTGAAAAGTATGTGTTTCAGGGTCTGGGCATTTGCTTCAGTGCTATGGCTTTACATGTTATTATTTCCTTAAGGAATGAAAACACCACTTTGATTTTGTAGAATTGATACTACAATTCAACACCACTGGAGACAATTTTTCTCCTTATTTGTATTGAATATAGAATTCTATATAACACATAATTTTCCTGATAAATCTTTCCATTACCTACTTAGATTGCCACAGTTTTAGGTATCTAATTTGTCATTTTGAATGAGCCATGCTGCATTTGTGAATCATGCTGAATGTTCCTTATGAATTTTATATTGTTATTTCAAGTCAAGAGACTGAGCTCAAAAAACAAGTATTAAATGGTTCAAATCTAGGCTCATCCTTATCACTGGTACAAACAAATTTTAATATAGTTCTTTGGGAAAAAGAAAAAAAAACTTTTGTTAACAAGATGAACATGCATTTAAAGACGATATGCAAAATCCAGGATGACTTTCAATTTCTTGAATCTAAGGGCTGTTTCCTATTGATCATTGAATCCAGCTCACTTAAAGCTTGATAAGATTTACAAAGCATTTGCTGTATGTTCTAAGCTTTAGGTGTATTCTACTCCATTCAAACAACAATTATTTGAAAGTGATACGATTATTACCCTTATTTTATATAAGAGTAACCTGAGGCTTACTGAGATGAACTGACTTACTAGGGGTCACAACAAACTTGGGTTTCCAGATAAAGAAGTTTGACCCCAGTACCTACACTATAAATCTGTTTTGCGGTATTCTCAAAAATGTTTGTTAAAGTGAGAACAAAAAGGGTCTGGATTACCTGGAAGACTTTTTGGCCACATACCTGTGGGGTTTTTTATTTAGTAATAAAATTGTAATTCATAGCTGATTTTAACATTTACTTTACAGCTCAAGACTCTCCTGTTCATGTCAGTTCACCTCGTAGAGGCCATTAGTACAGCTCAACCTCCAAATCACTGCAGGTGGGGAATTATATCATATCTGACAGAACTCTTTTGTAGTACCACAGATATCACCATTATCATGGCTTTTCTGATGCATTCCATCAGTCTTGTTGCTGAGCCATCACTCACATTTCTTCCCAGACTTGATCTTCTTTTTTGTGAGAACATACACACACACACACACACACACACACACACACACATCCCACACACACACTCATAAAGTATTTTCTAGACATTTATGTATGCCTAGGAGAAAAGTTATAAGAAGGAATAATCTTGAGTGAAGATGCTCATTAGTTATTTTTACCAGAGATGTAAGAAATTGGGGGAGACACCTTTAAGCAGGAGCAGGAAGGTTTAGCTAATATGGAGGTAAGTAAATGAGTATAATTTCTGGAAAATTTTTGAAATGAATTAATAAGCCAAGATTAATGAAGGAGTTTTTCAGATTAGAACATGTCAGTGGTTCTTTGAATTTTCACCCTACGCTATTCACTCTTCACCATCATCAACCTGAAGATGCCCATGAATACGAACCACAAAAGTTTGTTCAGACTAAGTGTTGGGTTTCCTTAGCTCCGTACTCCATTATCCCTGGCCTATCATTTTTGAAGAAGCAGAGTAGAGAATTCCAATATTGTATAATTTAAAAATACCTGACAGCACTCAATTCCCCAACATAAACGGGAAGATGACTTGGTCAGCCTAAAATTTCCAAAAGGCCCAGTAAGGTGAAACGGACACCACCCCAAGTAAGATTTTACATAATCACACAGACGCATCAGTGCAAAATTAAAACGGATTTCTGCCTGAGAATTCAAGAAATATACTACCTTGCCCCATATCGGTAAGAATCCGATTACCACAAGGATGGATAGTTACCCATGGCGAAGAATGGGATTCCAAGCAGGGTGGAGTTGTACTTTCCATCGGTGATGAAGAAGATCCCTGCTGCCGTGATGATGGAGATGCACACCGTGAGCACCCCCAGGAGGCCCAGGAAGGGCTTGCTGCGCAAACAGTCCTTCATGGAGCTGGAGAGGGTGGCTGTGGTCAGGATCAGCACAAGGCTCACCAGGACCTTGCTCCTGGCCAGGATGCTGGTCTTATGAAAGTCTCTCCAGAGGCTAAAGGATGCTAAAGAGTAGAGCTGGAAGTCCTGGTGCTCCTCCTGGAGCTTCCTCATAAGCTTACAGAACTCATTCTCCCACTTCTCCCCTATGAGGTCTTGGGTGGCAGAACCATAGGTCTGGAGGTAGTAGGTGATTTGAATGGCTCTGGCTGACTTGACCCGCTGGTCCTTGCTGTTTGGCACTTCCACTACCCCGCCCAGTTGGTGTCCAATAAAACTGTTCCTCCCATCCTTGAAAACAGAAAAAGGAGAGACTACAGTTACCAGAGGGATGCACATTCCAGACAACAGATTGTTACTCTAAGTGAAGGAACACAATGAAGGCAGAGGATGGCTCTTGCAATCATGGAGCTGATGTGGGTGGAGTGGCACGTGAGGATTTTATATTTAACCTTTTGGAGTGTCATGGGATCCCATGCAAGATGATCAGGATTAGAAAGATGCAAAGAGAATTACGAAGCTATGCAAGACTCGCCACATGCATAGGGAAATGATCCATCCCGTCCCTACCCCCGTTCCCATCATTTCTGTCTGTAGCAGTCTATTACAACTCCTTTATGCAGGATCAAGTCTTACGATTCAGTTTCAGCCAAAAGTTTTCAGCTTCAGTTTCATGAAGCATGGCATGAGTTAACATTTCAAAAATTGGAAGAATAATCCATTTAGTAAATATACACTAAGCTTTTCAGGGTTAACACACACACCTACACCAACACACACAAACACACATGAACATTACAAACATCTATACTCTGGGGGCTCTGGGGGTGCAACGGTGGACTGCACACCAGATAGAAGATACTATTTGTTTTGTTTTTACAATTAACACAAGAGTGTTGAAATGTTTTCTAAATATGAGGTGAGCGCCTGCTCACTCATCATGATGTTCCCTCCAAACACCTGCCTCAGTCATAGGTTGACCTTTTCCCCATAGAACACAGTGGATAACCACCCCCCCCCCCCCGATGAAACTGATAAGATTTCAGGTGGGCTTGTCAAAAGTCATTGTGATTTTAGAATTTCGCATGAAGTAGAGCAGACAAGGTCATAGGACTAGGATATTTATGAGAGAAGTGATCACTCCTCTTTAAGGTACAAGTAAGGTAGATACTGAGTTGTTTATTTACTTATTATTTTAAGTTTATTTATTTGTTTTGAGATGGGGGCAGAGAAAGAGGGAGATAGAGAGGATCCCAAGCAAGCTCAGCACTGTCTGTGTGGAGCCTGATACGGGGCTCAAACTCATGAACCATGAGATCAAGACCTGAGCCAAGATCAAGAGTCAGATGCTTAACCCACTGAGCTACAATGCACCCCAGATATGCAGTTGTTTAATTCAGAGCAGTAATTATCAACCAGTGTGCCTTAACATTCAGAAAGAAATCCCTGATGGCCATCACCAAATTTAAATCAATTTGGATATTTTCTTTTTGCCACAACTGTCATTTACTTCAGTGGCAATGGTGGTCAGATGCAATACTGAGCCCAATAGCAGGTCACAAGGCGGAACATGGCATTGAAAATGTGCTGCAGGTACCACGTGAAATGCAGGCACGAAGGTACTTAGTGCCATGAGGAGAATCTGCATTTGCTACGTCAAGCAAGATATTTATCTCACAAGGATATAAAAGCATAGAAGCAGAGCAGGAAACAATTCTTTCTAGAAAGGTAGTGCAGAAGGGCAACAAACCCAAACAGTCTGCTAACCGTGGTTGCTATCACAGAATTGCAACGCACTCTACCCTCAAGTAGACACCTGTAACCAGTTATTATGGACTCATTTAGTCAGACTCTATATCTGAGGTACTTGTTCCTATTTGTATTTTTAACATGCACTAAAGTAACTGTCGTACTTGAAAGTGTGTTGCAGGCACAAAAAAGTTTGAGAAATTTACAGCAAGTACAAATGTTGTTAGTGGTATCATTAAGATTTGTGAGGAGGAAATTTCATAGTCATTTCACATACCCATTTGTCCCTATACGTTAAGTAAAAGCAATTTTTCTACTTAATACAACCTGACCAACTCTAAATGAACAATTTATTTCTAAATAAGAATTGGATTTGAGGTTTTTTTTCCTTCCTTTGCTTGGAAAATCTCCCCTTTCCAAGGCATCTTTGTA